GCATCCTGTGATCTCCACTGTTGAGTGCTAAAATTCCATTCAGTTGAGCGCTAAAATCACTTAAGAATTTCACTAAATGCATTTTTGAAATGATTATTCGTGGGGAAATAATTTCTTGTTGCAAAATCTCTCATGAAGATAACAGATAAGCGATTATTTCTCTAAAATAAGCTGAGCCAAATAAAACGTAAAACTCCCTAAATATTTTGTTCTGTTCTTAAATTGTCATATAGTCCCTGAATAGAAAAAATATCAATTACCAATTATGGAAAAACATCTCATTTACATGAATTTGGTACTTATAACGCAAAATTCCTAAACATCCTAAATGAATCCCAATAAGCACAAAACTCAATTGAAACCTTAAAATAGATATCTTCTTAAATCCATAAAAGTAAGGGGAGATATCTTATCAAATATTAAATCCCTAAAGATGACAAAAATTAGGGTTGTCAAAATAAGTAGCCCAGCTCGGCCTTATATTAATCTCAATATGTCTATATTTTAAATCGGATTATAATTTTTCTTATAGTTTGACTTTATATTAGGTTAATGGATCAACAGCCTATTTTGGTCTAATTAAAAAAGAAAAAAAACAACAACACACACACCCTTACAATATATCTATACAAAAAAATTAAGATTTTGTCCCAAAAATAAAGTCACAACATGAAACTCCTTACATATATACAATTTCCTATGACCATTCAATTACGTTTCTCCACCCCTTTACTTAGATTAAGTTTTTCAAAATAATTTCACACCTTAAAAGTAATGGTCTTATTTTTTTAGACTCTCCATCATTTTGTTTAACATTACCTCCTTTACTATTACTAAGTACAACACGAGTACTATTATTAATAGACTGATTACTAATTGGAAAAGTAGTTTTTTTTAATATGAAATGAAGTTGTCATAATTTATCAAGTGGTCTGGGGATAAATAAATTAATAAAAAACAAGAATTTAATCAAAAGCAAGATAACAAAAATGGAAATACTTGTGAAGACATGTGGAGGCGCAAGAAGCGCATAGAGGCATGCATAGAGGTGCAGGGATAGGTGTGCCGAGGTGATTAGAGGTGCGCATATATGCACAACAAGCCACAGGATTTCATGTTATGGTTTCCTTCTCCCTAGATAATTTTCAAAGCTCTTCTCTAACATTTTTGGATCCTTGAGACAAGGAGCAACATTGCCCTTCTTTGTCATTAGATGTTCTTGAGCACTAGTAATTTTTCCATAGTAATTGCAAACACTAGTGTTTAAGTTAGATTCCTCCAATGGATGACAAATTGACAATATTTCCAACCCAGGTCATTCTTCTTAGGTGTTTTTGAACAGCTTTGTTCACTTACCATTGGAGTTGCTGAAAAATAGATGATAAGCTTATTTCGAACAAAAAAAAAATAAAAAATAAAAAGGGATTTGATGAGAAAGAATGGAAAGGGAAAAAAAATGATGTTGAATGAAAAAAACAATGAAAAAACAAAAGAAAAAGAAAAAGAGAAAAAGGGGCTGATATAAAACAATGATGCAATAGCATTCTTTCCTAATTAAAAAGACAATGATATAAAACAGGCAGGATTGGGCTGTGAAATTCAACAGCTGAATCACCACTTCTTAGATTTGGATTTACTTCGCGGTGTCTTTCAGAAAACTTGACGAAGAACAAATATGGCAGTAGAATTTCACAAGCAATAGAATTTTGTATATCTACAGAAGAGGAGTGCTAGCAACCACTCTCTAACTGTTATTAGTTCAAATTTATTATAAACTACATAAATGAGTGAAACTCATTAAATTAGTGGAATTCAACATAATTGGAATTTTCAATAAGTTTTAATCAATAATACTACATCTTAATCAATAATACTACATCGCTCACATTTCTCATGTACGCAATTCCCTAATCACTCAGGTAAACTTCAAATAAAGATAATGAAAACTAAAGATTGTATAGCAGAACAGAAGATAACCTAACCTGAAAATAGAAGAATGAAGAGACAACTGCACTCAGCCAGATGAACAATGATACATGCAATAGGTAGGTTGACGACAATATAAGCCAGAGTCCTTCAAATATGGGCCAAATGGGAAGCTTCCCTGAAGCAGATGACTTTGGAGAACCTCTTGGATTATGTTCAGTCTTCTGAATCTCATCAGCCTTGTTTTCATGATTGGAATCATTTTTTCTAAATTCAAAATAAATAAATAATTAAGATAGTCTTCCTCATGATGTCATGCACCATATATCATTAAATTACCCATTTAACTCAAACAAATAATTTAATGAGTGCACAAGATTCCCCCACATTTAACCATTATTCTCGGTGTATGTGTTTGACATCTGTCACTATCTATCTATCAATCCATACTATTAAGAACAATATTTACTTTATATTTTTTATTTTATATAGAACTAAAAATGGTGAAATCATGGGATTTTAGGTAAAGAGAGAGAAAAATGATACAGCTGATTCAGAAATTGGATGAACAATAGAAAAATCTTATTGACAGGCCTAAATTCCAGACCCTGTCACAATATGGGTACAGCACCAGATTAGGGTAGAATAAGAAGGATGAATGCTTTGGATATTCAAGAGACCCAGAACTCTCCCAAATGTCCACTAAAACAAATGAGAAACCCTACTCTCCTTCCTCTAATTTATATCCTCTAGCAGGGTTTCATTAAACTAACAGGTTTCTAAGAGTAACAGCTGTTAGCTTTCATAACTCTCATTATAGAGGTTATCACTCTCCTTTTGATAGACCTGCACATTTGATACAACTGGTACAAAGAATAAAAAGAATTTACACCAAATTACAAAGAGGTAGAGATAAACAGAGAGAAATATAGAACTTTGATTTTGTATTGATTACTGAGAATTTGAGTCTCAGATCCTCAAATGAGTTTCCAAAAGCTACTGCTGTAGTAATTACATTGTTATTTATACACTGTAATTGCCCACAACTGACTTCAGGGTCAGTTAGGTTTGTCAATATTTAAGAAAAAGAGTGAATACAGTCTAAATACTCAAAAATTGATATTAACTTTATAGATTTCAGACTTTTGAGAGAAAACTCTATAATTTGTCTTATTGATTCTGAAAAGTTTAGGGTTTAAGGTTAAGATCTACAATAGAAGATTCAGCACTCTATTCATAAAGTCAAGCTAACTATGCTCCCTTTTTGAAAAAAAGGCTAGTTGTATCTTCTGTCTGGGAAATAGTCTAAGATTTGTTAATCCTTTTGAAGACTGTCAAGTTTCTCTTTTACAAAATGACTTCTGCATGCCCAATTTGATCTCTTTCTGGAAGACCCACCATCACTACAGAGAAACCTAACAGTAAAAATTATATCATACGTTGCCTTTATAGAAATGTTGTTCCTGAGCTAGGGATACCATCATCATTTGGAAATAGAATTTAAAGTATCAACTAAGGAACATGTTCTTCACAAGAAACTTGACTTCCAATTGCGTTCAATACTTTGGCAGTCAGTGGAACCATATATATTGGAGAATCAGCGCTTTCAAGACATGTTGCTCATTTTGGAGGAAGACCCAGGTAATTTTTCTAATGATATTGGACGTTGGTTGACTCTACTCAAAGTTGGTCACTCTCAGATAGATGGATCATAATATGACATCATATATTGTTGAAGCCAAATTAGTTGTTGAGGAGCTCAAGATGTTCATGGAGGCTGACTCATTAGAAGAGATGAAGAAACTTGAAAATTTACCCATGGTGTTGGCTCTTCGTGGTTTAAATCCAAATTTTGATCATGTTCATGATCAAATTCTTTGTGGTGAAGATGTTCCTTCAATGAAAAATTTAATAACAGAATAGCCCTCTTCTACCCTTGCTTGCTATTTGAGCTGATTTTCATTCATTCTTTTATCAATCTAACTGCTACATAACTATGTTAACTAACTAACCTCACACCCTAACACATACTCAAACCATTGGCCAATATGCATTAATAAAGTTTCTTATCAAATGCACTTACCAAAAAGAAGTTGTTGGAAGTCCCACATAGTCTGCCTCATGTCATGTGGTGTGCTTAAACACCTGTTTGGTTACTCCACATATAGCCAATTGGTTTATATTGAAATCTTAAAAGAAGTCAAATATACCCGTTGTTTCATGTTTCATTGTTGAAGTAAACTAATTATCTACAAGCATGTTTCCCTATTACCCCCTATTTAAAGTTGCAAGAGATCAAGAACAAGTAACAAATGCTTAAAGGGATTTCTGGGGATCTTAAGGCTGAGCAACAGACTCAATCTCCCTAATTGTGATGTGAGAATTCATAGGAATCCACAGCTTACAAGATATTATCCTGATTTCCACCTTGAGGGATGGTGAAAACGTTGGGAGGGAAAATTGTGGTAGCAAAGCCCCATTAGAGAGGTCTATATCGTAGGAAGAAGAAAATATAGAGAATAACCAAATAAGATCCCAGGAATCATTAACTGTATAGTAATAGCCCAAGAGACAATGAAATGTGCACGGGACAGAAACAAAAGGGGAAGGAGAAAATTAGTTAGTCAATAAAAATTCCAACTCCTGCTCCTTCCATCTTATCAAGTTCTGTGACATTGTGAAAGCTCCCACCAATCCAAAGTGGCCATGTTAGAAGAATAAAGGGAAGAATAGGGGACTAGGACTCAAGGCTGTTACTAGCAGTAACTATCTAACTTACGGCTAAAGTAATAGTATTAGAATTATAAGAGGATTGTAAGAGTTATTTAATGGAGTTGTGATTTATGAAAAGTTAAAGGAAAGGAAAGTAGAACTCCCTAATGTCCTCACGTCAAACAGAAATTATCTGCTACAACTTATAATCATTGCTTTATATCTTCATTTCTGAGGGATCCCATCATAATGCTCTGTTTTTATTTTTCTAATTTTTCCTATTCAGAATCAGTTGTATTAATGCTGCATCTTAAATTTCATTAGCGAAAGCTAATGTGCATTTGCACGTAAAAAATTGAAAACTAGGCACGAGGCCAATGACATGTATGCACTTCTTCCACAGATTCAATATTTGCACTGGCGACTAATCAATTGTGTAATCCATCAACAGGGAAAATCAAATAAAAGCACCCCAGTAATATCCAAGTAAAGCTATCAGCGACTCCTTTTGGTATGGATATTAACTACTTTGAATCAAAAGAAAGGGATTATATGCAGAAATATACAGAGATTTTCTTTTTTAATATTCTTTTACTCTTATAGATCATTGGTTCTCTCTAACACCCGATAATTTCATCACCAAAATAGGTCAGAAAGGAACAAATCAGAAATATGATGATGACAATTACAACCAAACTATACTGTTCACAGACCTGTAACCAGATTTAGTGGTCCAGAACAAACTTCTAGTTTTAGATGCTCTGTATATTTAAAGGTTAATTCATTCCACCAGAATTATAATGAGGGTATATGACATCCAAAACTTATATGTTTTCATTCATACAACTAGAAAGAAAAGAATACGTGGAATGACCTAATGGGGGACGATTGTTCTTCTACATGAGATGTACCACCATTTATCCCTCTAGATGTCTGTGCTGCAAGTTCCATCAATAATGCAGCAAACAGAAGCAAGACTGCAAAACATGATTTTACTTTATGGAAAAACAGAACCATATGAGAAAAGACTACTTAGGGAAACCGCATACTCACATGGGCCAACAAAAGCCATCCCAATAGCAAACAATGACCCAAAAAGTTGTCCAAGGGTGGCACCAGCACCAATAAACCCGAATAATCTTGAACCTGACTGAACTCGGAGTATGTTAAGTAGGTCCTAAATAATCCAGACAAAATCAAAAAATGATATAGTGGCAAACAAACCTCACTGTCCATCACATCAATTACCCTTGCCCAAGTTGAAGAAATTGTAATTAGATTAAGCAAAGCAACCTATACAAAATAACAGAAACTATGTTGAAAAAAATCTCATTTAAAACAACCTAATGGCAGAATGAAATCAAATTGTACATTAGAATCTAAATATGGAAAATGAAGTCATCAACCATACCCAAAGAAACAATCCTATCCTAACAGAGATATAGAACCATCCATGGCTTTCCCAACCAAATGAAGATGCAAGACTGCCTTTGTCACCAATTTTCCCTTCTTCCTTTGAGGGATAAGTCAAGGGCATGGATCCCTAGCAACATAAAACCCAATTCAACACAATCAAAAACCAAATATTCTGAACTTAACAAGTAATATAGACTGCAGCAAACAACTTCAAGTTATACTATTGCCTTACTGTAATATTGGACGTTGAATATCCAGCTGATGAAGAGCGCCATAAAATAAAGAACAGTATGAGGGATACACTAAAGAACCTGTGTATCAAAAACAAAGCCTGGAATTTCAAGAAGCACAATTACAGATGATATTCATGGAAACATAATTTAATAATAACTGTCTATCATTGTAAAAATTCAGCTCTCATGACCCAAAAAAAAAAACTAAATAATTAAATATGAATGCATGCCACCATAATGGTAATGCATTCTCTTATTTAGCTGAACTAGAAATTATAATAACGATTCAAAAACCCATTAATCTAACTACATCTAATGTCCTGCGATTATAAGAGGCAACTGCAGTGCTACATAACAAAATATACCACCTGCAATGCTCTTACAAGCCAAGATTATCAATGGCAAGCTAAAATTTCATCATAAAAAATTACAGATGGAAATGACAATTGTGGTAGCTATAACTAAAAATAAAAGTATATACAATGAATACAAGAAAAAATATACCAAAGAAACAATTGAAGATGATTAGAAAGTGGATTTACATCTCACTTATATACTATAATTTGGTCATATCTCTAGTTGATGTGAGATCTCCAATACAACCCCTCATGCTAAAGACAAGACATCTTGAGAGCATGGGACTAAATATTTATGGGTAGCCTAATAGCAAATTGCATAATAGACCCACAAAACCTTGCTATGATAGACCCTGATACAATATTAGAATGTGATTTTGGACTAACTCAACCTTATAAAACCGGTTGCTTGAGAGCGTGTGATTGAATATTTGAGGGTGGTCTGAGCGGGTGACACAATAGGCTCAATAAACATCATTAGAATAGGTTTTGATACCACTTGTTATGTAATTATGAGAAGATAAATGGTGAGAAGATATTCATAAATGAGTCACAAGTCAAATATAAAATAACATGACATCACCTTGCACTCAAAACCTTAAGATTATAGATTTATGAGTCATTATCACATATATGTTGTTAAACTTTCGCATTTCTCGGCAATGTTAAACTTCAACTTACACTTTTGGTAAATGATTGTGTTGTACAATTGTACTACTATTGATTGGTTAACTGCTGTGTTTTGGCATAGCTCATCCTTATGAACTTATCATCATGTCATTTATGTATGATTTTAACATGTACTATTATCATACTTTGTGTTCTGACATGTTTTAGTATGAAGGTGAAGTATGGGCATTGTGTGTAGCAATAACATGCATGATTGTGAGTCATTTATAAATATAATGACATTTAATCATTAGACTAAGATTTGAGAGACAGCTAAATGAATTATCAAAATTGAAATTCACACTACAATGGGCAGGGAGAATAATGAATTAATATAATGTTACCTTGCCTTTGGAAAGGTTAGGCAGAGAGAATATGAGAGAAGAAAAGGGCGCAGCAATGAGGGTGAGCACCAGGGACCCCGCAAATAGACCAGGCAGATTTGATAAACCCAAAGAGATGGCACCCTCGTCCCGCAACGGAAGAACCACGAAATACGCACTCAAAATCTGAAACAAATACCCCAAAAAGTAATAACATGTTAAAAACAAAAAACAAAAAATGAAACAAAGGGGAAGGGAATACATCCTCATCCCTCAGTGGTTGCATTGAGCAGAGAAACTCACGAAAAAGAAGCAGAAGAAGGAATGGAGCAGAGCAGAGGTCTCGTGCGGGTGAACCGTAACGAACACGGAGATGACCGCATCGAAGGTAGACCTGCCCATCGCATTAGCGTTTCGAATCGGAGCAAATGGAGATTTGAGGAAGACCAAAAATTGCTTGCATACCCAGGTCAAAGTCTTTAATCATTTACAGGTGGCATTGTGCAAGACTATGTTATAATCGTTACATTAGAGCATGGAAGCAATGAATTTTAAAAATGGTGATTGTGCTTTGGAAAAAATAAAAAATACTCCTGTGAAATACTTAAAAAAAAAAACAATACATGTACGAAGAAAAATAATTATTTATTTAATTTTAATCATTTTTAAAAACTTGTTTACCAAATTTATTTTTATCCTTATTTTTTTGTATTATTTAGGAAAAATAAAAATTAAATTTATTATAATTATGAAATATTTTATATTAAGAATTTAATTTTAAAAACGATGTTTTGAGGCATGTTTCTCAATGACTGTATTTTTTAAATATTTTAATATATAATTTAATTAAATTTTTGAGAGATGATTATTCTATGAAAGTAAAATATAAAATAGTTATATATATATATATATATACACGTGTGAAATTTATAATTTTATATATTTTATGTCATAAACAAATATTAAAATTAAAAAAATAATTGATTTATTAATTATATTTATTTTACAAATTAGTTCCTAAAAAGATATGGACAATTTGTACCTCTATTTAATATTTTTAATTATATTTAAAAAAATTAAGAAAATAAAAATAAATATAATATAAAATAATAATATCTCAAAATTAATCAATTTTGAATTATATTTATTTATTTGAATTCTGAACATTTAACTCTTAACTATTATTAAATTTTTATAAAAATATTATTTTTAAAAAATCAAAATAATTAAATAATATAAATATAAATTAATAATAAAAATTATAATTAAAAATAAATAAATAAATTTGAGATAATTAAATAAATAAATATTAAAAATATCAATATATAATTAAAAATAAAATTAAAATTAATATAAAAAATTAATATTCTTAAAAAAATGTTTTTTATCACAAATTTTTATCACTTACTTTATTGCTAATTATATCTTTAATATTAATATTTAAAAATGACATACCTCATCCTCTAATCTTGATTTTCCCTTTCCTTTCGATCATGTTTTATGAAAAGTATCTTAATCTTCAACTTAAAACACTCACATGGACTATACAAGAGCTTAAGCATCATTATTTCCGAGTACATATATTGCACCACCAAATTCTACAATGGGCTCTATAACAATAACATGGTCGTGGGAAGTAGAGAGGCAAACATTAAATCACAATAAGGAATTGAGCCAATAAATAATTTATCTATTTTATGAATTACTCGTTCAGATGATGTTTTTTTTTTTTACTTACATTAAAGAAATTTTTTTTTCTCAAGAGAAACACCACGAAAAAGAATTAAAAAAATTATGGCAAAACACAAATCAATATATATGAAATTATAAAATACAAGAAAGGGGTTGATTATGTTTATATAGGTTTTTTTCTTTAAAATCATATTGTTCGTATAGTAAAATATTTTTTAATGGTCTTTTTTATCTTACAACATGAGTATTTTTATTATGAGTTTCTTGAAGGAAATACACTAGTAATATTTAATAAGTTTTTTCAAACTTTTATAACTTTCTAACTAAATTTTACAAGTTAACTTCGTTGGAAAGGGTATAAGACCACATAATGCAATGTCTTTTTAGGAAAGAAAATTATATATAATGAATAAAAGATCAAAGGTTTCTTAGGACTTCTCCTGCATAAGAATTTTGAAATTTTGAAAGAATTGTTTCATTCTTAAAAATTGTGAAATAAGGGTCTCAAATTATCTAATTATGATTACATAACTCTTATTTAATTTATTTCAACCTAAAAATTTTAAGTAATTCTTAACAATTTATTATTTTATATACTATTTTAATGTTTTTTATAAAAAATAAATATATACATTAAATAATTAAATTTTAATTAACAATACAGTACCATATTTTAATATAAAGATAATATAAAATACATAATATTTAAATAAATATAATAAAAACCAAATAATACTAGAAAATATAATACGTAAAATTAATTTTCATTATTTTCTCCTTTAAATTTTTGTCAAATATGTTCTACCAAATCTGTTTGAAGTCGGTGGTGAGTATTTCTATCTTGAACAACTACTCTCCTTTAAAAATATATAGATCTAAAATTAGGATGAAGATTTAAATATATATCAATAGTTGATATGTCATTTTCTCTAATATCATAATCAATGTGATTTTTTTGATAAGTGTATTGTTCATCCTCAATAATCATATTGTGTAATATTATATATGCATAAATTATGTTTTTTAATGTACGAGTATCCAAAAAATGTGACAGAGCATGTATAATTACAAATTGAGATCGAAGAACTTCAAATGTACATTCAACATCCTTTTTTGTTGACTCTTATCGTTAAGCAAATAATTTTATTTTTTTTTCCTTGTGGCATGGAAATAGTTTTCACAAACGTAGTAAAATCTGAATAAATATCATTTGCTAAGTAATATCTCATATCATATTGTGTTTCATTCATAGTACCAAAAAAATGCATGTCAAATCCACAAGTCTTATAATGTTACAGCTTCGAGAATGATTGTTAGGTTAGCATGATCACCTCGACAAAATCGACATCTTAATGCAATTGGACAATTTTTCCATTCCAATGTATGCAATCAATTGATCATAACATACCTGGAAAGTCACATGTGACTCCCATTTGTAGTAATTGATCAATGTCTTTGTTGTTAGGCCTCCTTAAATACTCATTTCCAAATACTGCATAAATGTCCTATACAAATCGTTGTAAGCATTCTATTGCAGTGCTTTCACCAATGCGAATATATTCATCCACATTATCAGTAGGTGAGTCATAAGTCAATATGCGAATAGCAGTAGTGCAATTTTGCAAAAGTGATAGACATTTTCTTCGTGTTGCATCTTACCTTAGTGTAAAGTAAACATTGTGATTGCCAAGGATTTCCACAATTTTGACAAAAACCCACATATGCATACGAAACCTTCTTTGAAATTGAGATTTCATATATACTAGATTTTCAGCAAAATAGTCATTGAATAATTGACTATGACCTTCATCACGATTTCGATGAACTACATTTTTTCTTTGTATGTCATCACCATTGTTGTCAACTTGTTGTCGATACACAACTAGTAACCTCATGATTTCTTCATCATAATTATCTTCGAGTTCTCCATCTATGATTTTATCCAACAGTGCATCTAAATTAATGTTTTCAAATTTCATTGTATGGATAATTGAAGTTTTTGAAAATTAATAATAATATTGTAATACTATAAGATGTGAGATATTACACGATATTCCAAAACTATAGATAGATTCATAACGACTAGTTTTACAATGGCTAATTTTCATTTGTGCATGACTAATACATTTTTCAAACAAATACAATTAATAATCATAATGACTAATATATTTAAAATCCTTGTTTTTATCTAGTTACAATATTTTTCATGATCTTCATGTTGCTTCTCAAACATGGTAATTGTATCCTTCATGAGGATTTCATACTCCAAATGCATTTTTTTGACTTCTTTAACTTAGTCAATTCATCAAACTTTGTATTTTTTTCCTTTATTGCATTTTCTATGTCAGATAAATCAATATGGGGAGTAGCACTTCCATTGGCTTTTCCTTTATTCTTTCTTTTGGCTGCCTTTTGTCATATGGGGCAAGATATTGGTGATGTTGTGTCAAATTCTTCAACTTCGTGTGGTGTCTCTAGGTTAGAAAATGATGAGTATGCACCTAAAGTAGAAATCTTGCATATTTTTGAAGAATCATCCATAAATGTTGATTATCATTTTTGTTGTATGTAGCATCAATTGTCCCGTGGCGAAGGCCAGGTGGGCCGAGTCATAATCGAATCGTGGCGCTTGGGCTATTAAAGTAAAAAGAGTTGCCCTCTCACTAAAGGCTATAGCTTTTGGCCTAGTGGTAAGCGCTCGATCCTAACAATTTTGGTGCATCTCTTAACAACAACCAAGCATATTCAAATTCAAATTTTTTTTTCCCTTTGAAAATCTTATGTGCGAATGACATAACATCTTTCTTAGCTCAACCACTTTTCCTTTGTTTGGTAGTTTGTTTACATCATGCATTAAATTTTTGAACTGCAGGGTGAAGTTTACTCCATCGAGATTTTAATTGACCCACTAACCTCTTTGTGAAAACACTATGTTCGTCGTCATTATTGTATGCTTTTTTTATCCGCTCCCAATATTGATAATGGGTTAATGACTGATAAAATCCAACAATTGGATACTTTGATACATTCAACCATGATCGAATAAGAATCAAATCTTCTATTATTGAGAATGGTACACGAGGTTTCCTCTAAGACATATTTTCATCGCTTTTATCAAGTTGAATATTATCGAGTCTGATCGGGGACGGAGGTTCTATGTTAGATGAAGGAGAAATGTTACTTATATTTGATGTCATTGGTGGTGGTGGAAACATAAAAAGTAGTGATGGATAAATATAATTTTAGGAATTTTGAGAATTTTCACCTGTACGAGATGAATAATTTTGTAATAAATTATAATAATATTGGTAATTAAATTGATTGGGATCCATAATTTTAGAAAAAGAAAAATGAGGAAATGAAGAAAATGTGAAATTTTTTTACCATAGATGGAGATTTTATAGTGTAAAAATAAGGCAAAGCAAAATTTCAATAGTGAAAAATTTTGAACGACTAGTATTTCTTGTGACTAACGATTATCCTTCTCAACGCGGATTCTTCTCCCTCATCTTTTCTTTCTTTGTCTTCCTTCTTCGTTTTCTTTTTTCCACCTCACCTCTTTTCCTTCCCCTCACTTCTCTTTCTCCATTTTAGATCTTTTCTCTCAGATTTGTCATCCCCCTTCCCGCATTCACCTCCATTTCACCTCTGTGTCCCACCCCGTTACGTCCCTCCACGTCCTTTACCACGTCCCCCCCACTGCATGTGACTTCACCTTCGCATTCGCCTCCACATTCGTTGCCTCCGCAGTTGTTGCAGCTACTGCATCCGTGGTTTATGATGCCTTGATAATTTTGAAATTGATTATGAATATGGTTATTGTAAATTGATTATTATTATTATTATTATTATTATTATTATTATTATTATTATTATTGGTGATGGTAGATAATTTTGAAATTTTTGGTTGAGTATGTTTTGGATTGGTGAAAATTTATGGATTGATGAAGATGATTTTGCTTTTTTTTTCTGATTTGGATGTGTTTGCTTGTGTTTTATTCACGCTGTGTTTGCTTGTGTTTTATTCACGCTGTGTTTGCTTGCATTTTGTTCATTATGTTTCGTACGCTGTGTTTGGTTCCCTGCGTTTGATGAAGGTGATTTTACTATTGAGTTTGCTTGTTGGATTAGTTTGTTGTGTTTGATGAAGATTAAAATAATAATATTTTATTTGAAGCAACAGTTGCTTCCCCAAGCATTTCTCTGCGGATATGGAGCAACTCTGCATGCCATATTGTTTCCTCCAATGGAATAGTTGCTTGAAGCAACTAGAGAAATTTTTGAAGTATCATTCATTGGAGATACTCTTAGAAAAACATGCATGTAAAAATGTTCATATTTTTTAACTAAGTAATATCACTACAAGTGTAATAACAATAGTTTATCTTTTTTTCCACTTCTCTTTTTATTTATATTGATTTTGAAACAGTAATTTTTTTCACTTATCTTTTATTTATATTGATTTTGAAAAGTATTTGTAGTAACAATGGGCGAAACAACAATGGATGCGAACAACATAAGCAGAGGCAAAGGCAAACGCAAACAATGACAACGCACAATGAACATAGGGAGAAGAGAGGGAGAGAAAAGGGGAAGGGAGAAAATATGAGGGAGAAATGGTAGAGAGAAAGGATATATCAAAGCAAAATGGAAGAGACACGCGATTGAGTGGAAATATGAAATTGAAATTGGACCGTTAAAGTAGGAAGAGAACAAAATTCTACCATTGGATTGTGTATGTTATTAGTCGTTGAGAAGTTATTTTAAATTTTATAATTAAGTACTAGTCTTTGCTAATAATTTTTTTTATAATATAAAACTTCCATCAAGGGTAAAAGATTTTCACATATATTTCATTTCACTGTTTTTCTATTGTATAAGCTGATAGAGACACGAACAAACTTTATTCCTGAGGTGTGTATAATCACTTCCCTTAAGAACTTATCCACGGTGTATTGTGAAAGTCCCCCAAGATACAACAGGAACTTCTCGGAATATCCGAGGATCTCAAAAACTAGCAAGAAACTCTCAAAAGAGTAAATTAACCCAAGTAACAGAAAGAAGATCAGGGAAGAGAAGATGAGAGAGGTGTCTTTTGAAAAGTGTGAAGTGGTCTCTATTTATAGGAGAAAGTCTGTAGCAGTTATGGGAAGATTTGGTAGTGGGTCTATAACGTTCTTTGTAACGTTCTCTAAAATAGTTTTCTGCAACGTTCTCTGAAACAGTCTTCTGCAACGTGTGAGAACACGTTCTCTGAAACGGTCTTCTGTAACGTTCTCTGAAACAAGTCTTCTGCAACGTGTGTGAGAACACATTATCTAAAACAGTCTTCTGCAACGTGTGAGAGAACGCGTTCTCTGAAACAGTATTCTGCAACGTGTGAGAACACGTTCTCTGTTTTGCAATACCCATTAATTTACAACAATCTGCCACATATTGCAAAACAAA